AGATTTATTTACATTTTTTATAAAATGATTTTATTGATTTATTGGAAGAATTGTCATCAAACTTAAGCTTAGGTAAAATGTTTGATGTAAAATCCAATGATTCTGTTATTTTATCAAATCCTATTATTAATTATCCTGCTGATATATTTATTTTATTTATTATTTTGTTATTTTGTAAAATGCTATTGTCTCTAAAACTGTTAAGTTTTAAAGTTATTAACAAGTATACCTTTTTTTTGTTAAAATAATGCATCTTTAATATTTTTTATCAAAAAAACCGGTAACTTGAAGAACAAAAAAGTTAAGTGCAAATGTATACGACGTATGTGGCGGCTCTATTAGCTATATCAAAGTATGCAATAAATAATAATTCCTGATATTAAGTAGTACTCAACTGTATATTTTTATATATAAATGTTTACAAACAGTTATAGCAAAAAATAAAATTTTAAATTTCCATTTTAACACCCTGTATCTTTTTTAATATCAACATTTTATTAAAGCAAGTTGGCTTAAATCGTAATATTTTAAGGTATATAATCTGCGATTTCTTTTTGTACAATTACCTATGGACCACCCTGTATATAGCGGTGGATCTCTCCCGCTCTCGATACATCTGTGGAAGCTTCTCGTCGTCCCTCGAGATGCAACCGTTACATGGTATAATAAACTACAGAGGTAACATATTGCGCACGGTCGCTCGATCTTCGCCCAGGGAGTGACGTCAGTTGCAGCGTAGCAGGTAGCAGCAGTGTTCCCAAACCTACTGATTTCGCCGCTTTTCTACCGATGTACCTCTACCAAATTTTATATTCAGATAGAAATTTTTACTTTTTCTTAAATTTGAGAAGAAATATGTAAGAGACAATACAATTTTTCTTGCGATACCTGTAATTTGCATTGAGCATTTTTGTGTACTCACAAAAACGTGTGAAAACATTCAAAAATTTATTCTTAAATGATACCTAAGAGGTCCTTTACAAAGTACATGATGTAATAAAAGCTAATAATACAATAATAAATGAATCAAAATCTACACGGTGTGCACAATACAATGATACAATAGGTGTGATACAATAGGTATGTCACACATATTAAAGCTTATCAGAAATCATTTTGTGGATGAAGGTTTTATTTTTAATGGACTAGAACTGACTAAGGACTGTGTTGAATCTGTTCTCGATGCAACAACAGGTTCTGATTTAAAAATTACCCACAAGAAAAGCTTAATGTGAGAGGAGCTCAAAGACAGAGAGTAAAATATGCCGCTAAATTATTCTCCCATACGGTATCGAAGGCTATTAGTATGTGCGGCATGCTTGGTCTCATTAATCAAGACACACATTGGACACAATTGGCAGATCTTTTTAAACTAGTAAGAGTTACAATTTGTAAGGTAAACATTAATTACTAATTTGTTTTAACTTGTTATAGGTGAACGATTGGTTTGACGTATTTAATGTTAGCGTTCCTGTGAGCGACACTCGAACCAGAAACCGGGCATATGGTTTGGAGTTAGAAACCCAAAATGATATTTTAAATAGAATGTCTGACATGATTTCAACAATGCGCGTTAAAGGCAAGAAATCATTGCTTCCATTCCAAAAAGGTAACACAGTATATCAAAGTAAAAACACATTTATAACATTTTACAAAACATTGTAGGTATTCTTATATCAAATAAGGCTCTGCAGTTGCTGCTTGAAAATGTAGGCAAACGCTATAATATGAACTACCTTTTGACGAGACGCTTAAACCAAGATCCCTTGGAGAACTTTTTTGGAGTCATAAGAGCAAAAGGTGGTTTGAACGATCATCCAACTTCTGTAGATTTTAAATACCGACTGCGTTCTTATTTAATGGAAAAAAATGAAGGCGCTTTTTCAGATTACTGTAATGTACAAGACGATGGTACTCCTACATTAACTACGAGCGGTAGTATGGTAGAAAAGCTTGGTTTAAAAAAAAACAATCATTGACACCAATCCCACGGATGGAGATGACATAGTCCTCTATTTGACAGAAGGTGGACTATGTAAACCTTCTAATGAATTTATGGCTCATTTGGAAAAACTGGAGCAAATTTTTCAAAACTTTAATGAAGATACCATATTTACTGGCAAACAATATGTTTCAAGTCTGTTATCTGCAATTGATTGTCCTCAAGATGCTAAGAAAATATTTTTTCGATCGCGTATGTACTTCCGTATAAAAGATTTTAATAAAAAAATTATTTTAGCACGTACTAATAAAAGAAAAATAGAAAAAACTATTGCATAATGTATATAGTATTATATTTTTAAACGCAAATTGTTTTAAAACTGCTTTATATATAGTTATTTAGCAAGAGTATTAACGCGATCGTAATATTTATTTTCAAAATTCGCATCTGACTTGTGTAAGTGACGGTTGTTTTAAGTATTTAAACTTAACTATATATTTACCAATTATGTATAATATCAAAATTTTGTTCCTTCTTAAAAGTTTATAAAAAGTGGAAGTATGTAGGTACCTAAATAAGTAGCTATATTTTTATACTAATACCTTATTTGTTCTAATTCGCATAAAAATTAAATATACTTGACTAAGAAAACATTATAAACATTCGTTTTTATTTAAAATGTATGAAGACAGTAAAATAATATGCAAAATATCCATATTTAGGATGACTAAATTACGAGTGCTTATGTATACAATTAAGAGCAATGTTAATACTAAGCTGCGAGTGACGTCGCTGCGCAAGGTTAACGCGAATTTGCACTTCGGAATAGGTGGCCCTGCAACCGTTATATGGGCTACGTCGAATGCATGTTCGTAACAGACGAAAATCCTCAGCTCACGCGGGATAGTATTTTTTAAGCATTCCTTTCGTTCAATGTTTTTTGTGCCGTGAAAAATAATAAGATAGTCATTCTCATGATTTACACTCTCATTATTTATGACAAAATTTAAACGGAGAGCGTGCAACATTTTACGGCAAGTAATTGTACAAGCACTGCACGCTTGGTTTCAAAAAGATGAAGCACCGGCTCACAATATTCGAGGAGTCGGCACAAGGCTTGATGAAATATTTAGCGTTAGATGGATAGCTAATAAAGATCCGTTTCTCTGGTTACCAAGATCCCGTCGTTACCGTTAGATCGCTATATTTGGAGATATGTTAAAAATACGGTGTTCTCTGAACCTGTCACCACTAAGGAAACTATAATAAAAAGTCCTTTTAATTTATTATGAAAATAGATAAAGAATCAATATTAAGAGCTACTAATGAAAATCTGATTAAAAGATCATAAATAATTGGATGTTGATGGGTAAAATTTTTAACATTTGTTACATTAATAACCTAGTACCTATTTTCTTTAATAGCATCTTTTTATTTATTGTTCAATGTTTAACTTAAAATAGAAAAGTTGTAAATTAACGCATCATAGTCTACGAAAAAAATAATGAATCACATACAGGGTGTCCTATTTGAAGAAAAGAAATTTGGCGAAATGTGAAGTGAAGTGATATGCAAACAAAAAATGTTCAGAATATTGTAAATATTTCTAAAATGTAAAATATACAGAGTGTCTTTAAAAAAAGAAAGTTATAACCAACTTTTTGTATAACTGAAAGCAGCAAATAGATGAAAATATTTTCATTAAATCCTTTAAATCCTCCAAAATCCCCTTTATTTCAATTTTCATGATTCAGTTACCTTTAGTTCTCAAAATATTTCTAATTGGTCGTTTATCTGCAGCACCCTGTATATTTGCTGGCGGACAACCTGTAGGTTTAAAAAAATTGAAAAATCACGATAATAAATGTATGATTCTAATTCTAATAACCGTCGTAAGTTTTGCTCACATGTTTTGGTGTATATCCCATAATACGAACGTGTATTCTAGGATATAATATTTAGCGGATCTACTGTAACTCATATGCATTGTACCTCACTGTAAAATTCACAAAGTTTTTTTAAATCATTAACTGTCCTTTCACTTTTATTTTTCTTTATGTTAAAGGGAATAATTGCATTAGCCAAACTTAGCAGCCATATATAATTTTAAGACTAAAATTTGTGGAGCATCATGCTAATAAATTTAAACATTTAAAGCCGAACGACGCCTCTTTTATAAACTGATGCCAAAGTGGAAGTCCAGTAAATTTATCGTGCCCTGGTTTTCTAAAATCTTCCAAATATTCAATGTTAAAAATAATTTATTATTAAAATTTGTAAATTAAACATTTCGGATTCTTTTTATAGTTTTAAAATTAATGACCAATTCAAATTGAACTTAATTTTGTCACATAAAACAAAGAAAGACACACATTTCTCACATGTATTTGAATCGCTTATTTATGAAAGGCCTCATGTCACTTTTTTTTCTAACTATCATTTAACTTACCCATGAAAATGATAACCCATATGTTCGCACATCGTTTGTTTATGAAAAGCCTCATGTCTTGTTATTCCTTTATCAGATATATTGGTTTAAAATTATTGTTTATTTTTAAAAAGCCTCGTGTAAATGACAAGGAGCTTTTCATAAATAAAAGCACTGTTGGCGACATTGCTCGGTCAGCTGATTGTTGACAGATATTCACTGTTTGGAGATTATTAATTAACCTCTTGTTGTTTTATGTTATAATCAACTGTTAAATAATAAAATAAAATATTTCTCTTCAGGTATTGTTAAAGTGATTTAAATTGTTTTAAAATAATGTCAGAAAGTAAAAGTGTCGCTGAAATAGAAGCAGATAGCAAGAAGCGAAAGAGGGGTGTTCGTTACATGAAGAATATAAGCTTAATGGAATTAAGAAAGCTAGAGTCGTGGTGAAGAATATATAAATTACAGAGGAAATGTTGTTGAACCATGCAAAACAGGATTACCGTGCTCGTAAGTTACGTTTTATCTTATAATGTACTATTTTAGACAGGAAATACGATGATAATTAGAAGTCAATTTTAGAAGCTAGCTTAGTTCCACAATAGAAATCTTTTTTAAATGTTGCAGATGCAGATTGAGATGTTTCGAGAAATTATGTGAAGAGGACCAAGTTGAAATTTTATGCAGAGTGGTAAACTTTTCAAACAAAAATGAGCAATACCTTTTTTACCAGTCCTTAATAGAAGCATTGCCCGTACAGAAGAGGAGGTCAAGATTAAAACAAAACACTTCCGAAGATGAAGCTGAAGATGTTTCTTTAAGCATAAACATTCTGTTGAGCATAAAAGTTCTTGTAAATTCTATGCCTTGCTTCGTGAGAAAAGCAAGAAAAAAGAGTAAGAAGAGTGCAAGATCTTCTTGTGAAAGGTAAGTCTTCTAGAGATTTAAGAGGCCAACAGAATAATCGGAAGACCCTTCCACAAGATTATACGGATCTTGTAAAAAACACTTAGTCATTTCCACTAAAAACAAGTCACTATTCTTCTAAGGAAATAAAATATCTAGATGCTAAGCTGAACATAAAAAAATGTTCAATTTGTTTCAAGAGAAATATAACGAGTTAAACGTGAAGTATAGTTTTTACTACAAACTTTTCAAAGAACATATTCAATTATATATTTGGAAGGCGCCAAATTGACACTTGTTGTCAATGTGAACTGCTCAATACTACAATAAAAAATCCTCAGTTAAATGAAACAGTAAAACGAGTTGCAGTTGCGCAGCTACTTGTGCATAAGAGGCGTAGCAAAAAGTTTTATTCATCTCTTCGACAGACGAAAGAATACTGTGCCGAACATGAAAATGCGATGCTTCTATGTTTTGATTATATGGCAAACATATCGCTTCCCACGATTCCAGTGCAGGAAATATACTACCTTAGACAACTGTCCGTCTATCCATTTGGCATACACAATAGTAATAATGACACTGCAACATTTTATTTATAGCACCAGGGAGTTGCTGGAAAGGGAAGTAATGAAGTTTGCTCTTTCTTGAAGAAGTATATTGACGAGAATGTTTCAGTTAATGTAGATGAATTGTACTTATACAGTGACAACTGTACAGGACAAAATAAAAATCATACGATGATTAGGATTTTAATTCAACTTACAGATAGTGGAAGATTCAAAAAAGTTGCCTGTAGACTTCCAATAAGGGGTCACTCCTATTTACCATGTGACAGGGTCTTCGGCCTTGTAAAACGAAACCTAAGGAAACATGATAGATTCTATACTTTGAAAGATATAACAGAAATAATACTTTCATCTACAAAACAGAGAAAATTTACTATGGATTTAGTGGAAAATGCAAATGTTTTGGACTTTTAAAGTTGGTGGCCCAAATTTTACAAGAAAAATACTGTTTCAGAAGAAAGTAAAATTGAGAAAAACAAAAAAAAGTAAATGTTTACTATTTCTTCCTACCATGAATTTACTTGCGAAAGATTTAAAAACGGAGTGGTTGTTGTATCTGATTTTATAGGTGGATTTATTAGCAAAACCTTCAAATTATTATCTAATCCACTGTCTACTGCTGAGCCATCCTCCCCTTCCTCATTAGCAAGAAAAACTCATTAATCAAAGGTACCAATTCATCAAGAAAAAATTAATGACCTGAAGAAACTTTTGCAGTATGTCCCTCAAGAACACAAGTGGTTTTACAATGAGCTTGCCCAATGGCCTACAGTTGCAACCAAAAAATGAGCAAAAATGTATAAAATGGCAATTAATTGTAGCTAATTGTATTGTCTTAGAACTGTTTTAATAAAGTAATATTAATTATAAATAAACACGGTGTAAATTCATCCACCAATCAAAACTTTCCCGTAAAAAACACTTTTGTTTATGAAAGGCCTTTTGTCAGCCATTTTCAATACTAAAAAAAATACAATATTGATTTTAAAAAGTGTAACTACATATTTATTTTGAGTTTTAAGGTCCTTAAAACGTTTCGAAAAATCAGAAAAGTATAAAATCGTTTTTTATAAAACTAAACAGTTTTTCTTGTTTTTCCAAAATTTATATTTGTTGACAAGAGGCCTTTCATAAATAAGCAATTCATTTGTTAATGCATATTTTCATAATAATATATTATTCAATGAGCTTGTATTAACTGCTTTTGTTCGCAAGGGTGCAGTTATGACACGACCCTTAGGCCAGTGCCGTAAATCACTCTCCGAATAATAGCCATTATAAGCGAATATAATACTATTCTTTCTCGACAACAACTGTTTAATGAAAATAGGTTTATTGAAGGACAATATAATATGTTTATTAATAACACGTAAACCAATATCCACATTAATTTATTAGACGAAATACAGGCCAAATATATAAATGGTACAGGGGAAAAACGATCATAGTCACAAAAACTAAAAAATCCAAAATCCGTTATGATGGCAGTATGCGAAAATATTAACCTCGTGCTGACATTACACGTGAAAATCGGCAGAGTCCGCTGTAGAACCGAATACAAAAACGACATGCAGGGGAAGAATAACTGGAATAATAACTGGAAAAATAACTGGAAAACTGGAAGCATAAGAGTTCTACAATACACTTCCCTACAAACAACAAATTGAAGAGGGCAACGATGATGATTATCTTTAGAAGGTTAGTAGGTACATATCTTAAGAGACTTCAATCTCATGAAAATTATTAGAATTTATATTAGATAACCAAACAAGATTTATTTTTTATATTAAAAAGATCCCCCGTATTCCCCGAATAAAAAAAAAACATTTTTTGAACATAAACTTCGTTTCTTGTATTGTAAATAAAATAAATTAATTAAATATAATCCATCCAAATTATAAAAATACTTCATGTACAATTAAATTACGTTTTCCGCAAATCGCCAGGAAATTTTGACATTCCTGTCAAAATTTCTTGAAGAAAAAGTCAGGACTTCCTTACTGTAAGGAAATGTCATTTCCTTACTGTAAGGAAATGATATTTCCGTACAGTTGTTAGTTTCTACATAAATGCATAAAACATATCATTTTACTTTCGAGAACACCAGCAATTAAATTTATAAGCGTCAAGTTTGACAATTCAACCTCAATACGTTTCCATAGTAACCCAAGTAATTTTATTAGGAATTTCAAAGCACCATTTATTTGGGAATAAAATTATCGCGTTTTTTTTAAATCAATCAATATCTGTCGAATTTTAAACGATTTGCGGAAAAATAGTATGTTTACCTCGTAGGAAAAGCCACATTCCTGGACTCTGTGTTGCTAAGTCTCGGCTTGCGCCTCGACTTAGCAATCTTCACAGTCGTCCAGGAATGTTAAGCTTTTCCTACCCGGTAAACAATGTACTATAAACAAACAGCTGTTGTGTTTAAATTCTCCCAAGTTACAGGGGAATAATGATCATTATCCATGCAATAGTTTTTTTACACCAGATATAATAAGAAATCGATGCTGTTACACGTTTAGTATTGGAGTTATATCATCTGAATAAGATAAAGTTAATTTTAAAATAAAAATAAAGTGCATAAAAAACATCAAACGTTCGGCACAAGTCTTTAAAGTTTAAAAACGGTCCCCTGAAAAATTTACTTTTTGTGACTATGATCGTTCTTCCCCTGTAGGTACCCTTCATATGTAATATGTGGTTATTATAAAATACCCTAAAATTTAAAAAACTAAAAGTAGCGATACCCGAACGACATCACCAGCGAGTTTCTAGTGCTAGTCGTCTCTGTATACAGTCATCTATAAACCGTTTAAGGAAGCAGTTATGATTTCGTATTTCGATTTGTGTCTGTCATCTGGAAAATTATTTAAAGTATGTATTCGACATCCACCTAGTTGAAATAAGCATCAAAATATCAAATTATGTCTTGAACGTTAAGCAAACTTGAGTTTAAGTTTCTGATATTGCAATTTCTAGGGTCGATCGAATATCGAAGGGGATTGAAAAATTTAAAAAAAATGGAAAATATGAAACTTTTAATTTTAATTGGAATGTAAAGTAATAAGTACTTGTTTTCTTTTTTAAGTTCTTCTCAAAGGAAAGAAAAAAAAATAATTACAATGCATATTTGGTTATCAATAAAGGAACAAACATGGTTACTCGCTTCTCGTATAGGGACCCATCAAGACATTAACCTTTAACTACGGGCGCCACTCCATTAGTCATAACTACGTGCGCGGTGTATTCTGTACACCACCGACTAAAAACGCAAATAAAAGCCACAACTAGGTATTTTTAGTACATATATTGTATATAATAAATGTAGGCATATATTTAAGAGAATGTCTTAACATAAAAAATAATACATAACGAAAATATAAAGATTAGCAATAAATATAAGAACAAAAACTCAACCACTTCTTTTTCTTTAAAAATAACCTTCTTGAGATTCTTGTATATTAGCTTAACATTAAAAATATTATAAAACTAGTATATAAAATCTAAAAACTAGGAGTAAATAATCATTCACAAATGAACATATTTGAGAATATGTGTGCTATTCACTTTCGTTTTCTTCCTCGTTTGCGTCTACTAAATTACAATTTGCACAAATTGTAACAGAGTGCTCTTTACAAACCATTCTATTACATTTGTTGCAAGATATTGTTGTAACTCTATTTTTGCTCCTTCCACAACAATGGCACCTCCCCCGTTTTTTTGCTGGTGTTCATCGTGCGTAGATTGTATTCTTCAGAATATTTTAAATCAAGTAACTGTATTTCCGCCCTCTCAGAAAGATGAGGTCTTATCAATGCCAATGATAATTCTTTTAGAAAAACTCTTCTATATTTTTGAGGATTGTCGATGTTGGCAGCATTGTACAGGATCTGGCTGTTAACTCCGGCAATATTCAGGAGTTGAAAAAACAATGCCATTGGCCATCTTCGTGTTCTTCGGGATACCGAATAGGTACTGCACATTTTGTCTACAGTGTCTACGCCTCCTTTATGTGAATTATAGTCTAAAATTATCATTGGTTTTCCTGTTTCGGGATCTACTGTAGAATTACTGTGCATGGTAGATAGGAGAATGACAGCTTTATTTTTTTTTTGGTGTGTAGGATACAATGGTAACTTCTTTTTGAAAACCAAAAGTGGATGATCCAATTGATGTGTTTTTTCTTGGTAAAAACTCTGGAGGTAGTTCCCTTTTATTTCGTTTAAGTGTGCCAACCATCGTTATCTTTTCCTTCAAAAGGTCAATTGCCAACAGATAACTCGTATACCAATTGTCGCATGTTAAATTACGGTTTTTACCTTTCCAAGGTTGAAGCAGGCGATGGGTAATATCCGTTGGTGTGTTAGATTTTTTGTAGGGCCCTTCCGGTTGTTGACACAATACACCTCAAAATTGGTGACATAAAAGGTCTGCGCGTCACATAAC